TTTCTTTGTGCAGATGAAAAGAATGGGTCACTAGAACAACTCTACCTCTCTATATTCTTGCCCTTACCATATTTATAAGTGTTAGGTATGTAGCAAATAATCATTCATTTAAGTTTCTCTCTACAGCTTCTGTTCCAACAATCGATGAGCAAACCGTCACAGGTGTTTTGAGTCGCCATAATTGGACTGATATTGGAGCTGTCATTGATGTTACTGGAAGCATGGCTAGTTGTTATGCGCAGATTGATCAATGGATGGCTCTGAGTCAGACAAATAGACTCGTTCAATACTTTGTTTTTTTCAATGATGGTGATAAAACACCAGATGCGAATAAAGTAATTGGATCTACAGGTAAGGATGCTTTCAAAAGACTAAATGATTTTCTTTGTAGTTTTCAACTTTTATTAAGGTGGTATCTATGGCGTACACACAAGTGAAGGGATTGTGAAAGTGTTGGAAACCTTGAAGACAGCTAAATCGAGTGGAAGTGGTGGTGATGGTCCTGAAAATGATATTGAAGCAATTCTCTACACAATCGCCAATTGTCCTACATGCGAAAATATTATTCACATTGCTGATAATCAAGTGACACCAAGAGATATGAGTCTCTTAAATAAAGTTACAAAACCGATTAAAGTCATTGTCTGTAAACTCGCCGCAGGTACCTTGGTAAATGAAAAATTGTTGGATGTTGCCTATAAAACTGGTGGTTCTTTGCATACACTTGATTCAGACATCGAAACATTGGGAAGTTTGAACGTTAATGATACAATCAAAGTGGGTGCAGGCACTTATCGACTAAATGCAAGTGGATTTGTACGAATTGCTTGAAGTGTTAAAATTTGTTTTAATTGATAAATTGTGTTAGCGTCAACAGATGACACTATGTTTAGGCTAACTTAATTGAAGTTTGTTCAATTGGTCTTTTCTTATTATTCTCTCATTTGTTGGTGTCTTCTGTTTCGTTCTTGTGTTACGTGGTTTTTCTCTTTCGTTCGTTCTATAGCTGGATTTTTCTTTTTCGTCCTGTCTTTCTCTCTCTTTCGGATTTTCTCAGATTTTAATATAGTTCAGTTGAACTCTCTCCTATCTAGTAGAAGGATGTATTGTATTATCTTCGATTCACCTTCTATTATTATTATTATTATCAGTGATATCATCATAATAAATCTTCCCCCTCCCCACCTTATATTATATTTCTTATTCCATTACTTCATCATCACCAACATCATGAATACTTAGTCAATTCCAAGGTAAGATCATTATACTTTTAGGCGCCAATAATAACGTATAAAAGTTGGTCTGACAACTTGTAACTTGAAACGAACACGACTCTTCATTTCAAGAATAAACTTTGTTCGTTCTCTCAACAAATTGGGTTATCGTTCGAAGTCAATGTAATTCACACAGCAACAAACTAAACTTGTTAAGATCCCTCAAAAAAAGTTGAGGGTGTGGGTATGGGTGTGGATGCGAACGTAGAGAAGGTCCACACCCACACCCCGTTCCCTGAATGTGAGATGCATTCAAACGCTGTACTTTAATAATCAACATGAAAGAGCTGTTTCTTTTTTTGAAAAATCTGTATTGTTTCGTAGGATATTATTTGATTTCTTGAATCATTTCTACATGTAATTACTAATCTTCAAGCTAAAAATCGTCCTACATTGCCTACGGTAGCATCTTGTATTTGATATTTAAAAGACAAACTTAAACCGACAACCATTGACTCATCGGTGCTTTACTTTTTCAAAGATAGATGTATCACTATCCTCGAACGCAAAATAAAATTACAAGATATACATTTTGCAGTTGGCATGTTGAATCCAAATTATCGTACTTTGTGACAAGCAACTAAGGCAGAACAGACACAAGCTCAAAAGTTTTTAAAGAAACGACTTGAACCTATTACAAAGTTCGCTGCTTCTTCAACGCAAATGGATAGCAGTAGTGGTAGTAATGATAATCGTCATTACCTTTCCAAGTAAGTGGATAGTCGACGAATATCACGAAAACAAGTTTGAGCTAACTTGATATCTCAGGCTGGACCATCGTGAAACCAATACCAATGGTATACTTGAGTTTTGAAAGACAATGGTCGACTTCTTACCAGCATTATCAAAAGTAGCATTTCAAATCTTTTTTTGTTCCAGCAATGTCAACGAGCGTTGAACGCTCATTTAGCGCTGCGGGTCAGATAATCTCCGGATGTTGATCAAACATTCCACTGAACGTAGTGAATGACATTCTTTTTCTGCGTTCAACGAAGAAAATGAGATGAAAGAAAATAAAAAGCTACTCACTAAAATTGATTAGTATTTAATTCTTTAAAATTCGGATATCTTCGCATTAATTAACAAAAAATATGTTTACTTCGAATCGGGTCACCAAAATCTTGATCCGTGTCGGACACTGACTTGCGTTATGAACGGTTATATTGAAACCTAAATCTTTGATTTTTTTTTGGTCAATTTAAGAATAAGAATACAGACAGAGTAATAAATCGTGTCATTATCTTTATCTCTTTTACTTCGTCGAGATTACGATCGTTCTCTTCTCATATAATTACTTTTTTATTCTGATCGCTTTGCTCGAGCATTTATCCTGTATCTGACTTCGACGAACTTTTGATTGATGTGTTTGTAGCAATTTGCTGTATGTAGACGTTAAAATAATGAATAACTTTATTTGATGGACTTTTTCTTATTGAAGTTTTTCATTGAATCAAAATTTGAAATTTCTCGTATTTAATAAATATTTCGAATCAATGTTTATTCTTCATTTGATGAAGTACATAAGTCCATAAACAAAAATTAGTTTGCTATTTAGTTAGTTTTTCCTTAAAAAACTTTTTCTTACTGAATATCAAAGGTTTTAATTCACTAAAATGAGTTTTAGTCGAAATAAAAAATAAATTTTTTCTATTTTCTTTATATGATTTTAATCTAAATTTAACTTTTTCCTTTGAGATGATTTTTCAAAGGAAAAAGAATGAATATTCGATGATTAGTTTTTATTTTGAAATGTTAGCAAATAACAGTTTATGAAAATGCCGCTCCACCATTAATCATAATACTTTGTCCTGTCATATAATCGGAATGTTTACTAGCCAAAAATGAAACCAAATTTGCCACATCTTCTGGTTGTCCTGTTCGATTAAGTGCAACATAAGTATTTTTAAGTTCATCAGTCAGTTCTCGTTTTTGCTTTCCTTGATATTTTCCAACTGTTTCATCAATCATATCCCACATATCAGTTTCTACGATTCCTACAAGAAATATTTTTATTATGTATTTAAAAAAAAAGGTAAGAATTGAATAAACCTGGACAATAAGAGTTAACTTTAATGTCGTATTTAGCCAATTCCATTGCAGCAGCTTGGGTTAGACCACGTACACCCCATTTAGTTGCTGAATAATGACTTAACATCGTAAATGGTAAATATCCCGCAGTACTGCAAGCACCGATTATTTTTCCTCCTTTCCCTTGTTCAATCATTATTTTCGC